CAAAAACATGGTAAGAAAAAAGAGTCATGGACTCCATTTCTAAAACTAAGACATCAGAACTCGAAGAATAGATGGTTCTGATATCATGTTAGAATATTAAGACTTGTATATAATGAACTTGTGTTTTTATTACAAAGTAGAAGACCCTATTAATAGGGTTATAAATAGTTCTAAAAGGAAATATTGTGTGATAATCATACAATCAACTATTAAGGAAAATAATCCTACACAATTGAAAAAATATCATAGAGATTATTCTTTATAATCATTTTTTATCTTCAACATATCACTAAGATTATTCTTTATAATCTTTCTATATCATCAACACCCTGCCCAAACTCAATTGGTATAGCACAATCAAATTAAGTTTACAAAATTAAATTGATCTAATAAAATCTAATTAATTGCAAGAATTATGTCAATATGAACATTTTTAGGGAGTGTAGAAATGATTTTAATGGCCTAGAATTCTGTTGGTATCATAATAATAAAATGGAAACCGAAAACAGTCAAAGGGAAAAACTGCCTGATTTTGTGTAGTGGAAAATGGACTGTTTTTGAAGCTCCGAACACTTCATTTGTCACAATGTTATGATCTGATTATCTTCACATATATGTTATAGGTGTGAGGTAAAAGTTTGGGAACCGTTAAATGTAGGTAAGGACATGAAAAAGAATTTGAAAGATGAGTGGACGGTGATGGAAACCTAGAAAACAGATTCTGTCCATTTGGGTATTTAATGTGATTTCAACATTTTGATGTCCCCTAATGAACTCTTGGGCCTAGAAAATATATCCTAAGGAATACTAGGTTGTCGAAAACAATTGGATGACGTTGACGTTCATAATTGGACTCGAGAGATAACGAGACTTATGGGATTAGTTTGTAATACCATCGGTAACTTGAAATAATGATTTTGTCTAAATTGTTTTGGCGTGAATGGACGTATTTTGGGATTGTGTGTGTTAAGATTATTAAATAGAGATTGTATTTAATATTAGATGATAATATAGGCGACTTTTCGACGTTGAGCGAAAAAGGGAATTGATACACACTCCATAGGAGCTTACACACATAAAGGCGAAAGGTAAGTGAAAATCCATTTGCAACTACGATGCAAGAACCTAGTATATGTGACATAGTAATGTTGAGATATCTACATAACTTTGATAAGAGGTTTATAGCACATCATATGGTGGTTACGATCATTGAGTATGAGGTTGCTTAACCTTTGGACAGCGATTTGCATTAAATATGTCATTCATGAGCATTTTCATATGCATGCACGACATGTGATTATGGTTGAAAATTCTGCATGCGAAACATGATTTCAAAGTGAGTTTTCTTTATAAATGTTTTATTGACCACTACTAGGGCACCGAGGCATGTGAGGCATGCTTATGTGATATGTTTGGCATTGCGGGTGTTACTTCCTGTGTGATTGCAAAGGTAGACAGGGGATGGGCCTTTGGTGATCACGGGAGGGTGGACCACTCGACTATGCCCTTGTTATGATTATTGGCCCTGTCGGGTGGGAGACTTCTTGGGTGATCATAGGGGTAGTTAGGGGATGGGCCTCTAGTGGTCACGAGAGGATGGTCCACTCGTCGGTGTCGATTTCATATTCGCCACTTGATTATTGATATTGATATTATGCAGAGCTCTATCCGGTGCATAGTAGGTGGGTCAAGGGCCCAATGAAATGAAAGATTTCAAGTGAAATGATTTCTAGTCGACTTTGACGAATATTGAAATATGATATTTTTATCGTGATATTTAAAGTAAATGGCATGGTGTCATATGTTGTTATTACTCATGTTCAGGACATGCATGATTTTGCTTACTAAGCATTGGCTTATGTAGTTCTTGCATTGTAGGTGAACATGGAACTACATAGAGAGCATGACTAGCTGTGGAGCTCCTACAGGATTCCAGAGTTCGATGTACATGGATGACGACCTGTAGGGTTATTTTGTAGACTGCCATCTGTAGGGTTATATTTTGGAATCCTATATAGTGTACTTTTGAAATGGCCTGTAGACATGTTTATAAGCTCTGAATATATATGTTGGATTATGGCGATATGATTTTGGGTTTCGATATATTATATGATCGTGTCACAGGTGATTAGAAGTTAACATACTCAAAAAAAAAATATATGTAAAATTCTATGTCTAGGTTGTGTATAGATATCAATCTTAATTTGGGGGTGTGACAGAGAGTTCTCTTCTAAGGATCGAATGATACTTCAAATTTTTTTTTTGCATGACCCCATTTAGCCAAAGAAAAAATTCAAAGTTGGTAAGAATGAAAAATCATCATTCACCAATCTAACCAAATCATTACCAAGACTTAAAGGAAAAATCAACACATATAACGAACAAGGTTGAAGCAAGAACTTCGAATCATTTTAATAACCAGATAGGTAAATATAGACCATGTTAATAGTAGGACTTTAAAAATTCATGGGTAGTATCAGTACTATAGTTACAAATTAAGGAAATAATGAAATAGAAACCTTGGCACACAAGGAAGTTAATACAACAGATGCGATGAGAATAAATTTGATGAAAAATAGCACGATAATTTTCGATTTTGTCGAAAACCAACTTTTCAAGAAGGAAGCAACAAGAATAGTTAATATCTAACCGTATTTGAATTAATCTAAAGTCCAAATCCAAATTAAATCAAGAATAAACATAGACTGGTTGACAGAATATGGATAGAATAAAGAAAAAGAATTTAACTAAATGTGAATATTTAATCAAAACAAGAAAATTTGACCGGACAAGTGGCATGAGGCCACTCGTTGGAGAACAAAAGCTTACAAGTTTATCCAAATTGAAGTTAAACCCACTCTAATGCCATGTTGAAATAAGAAAAGTATAGAGAGAAAAGAGAGAAGTAAAGAATATTTCTATATTTTGAGGTATGTATAAACTGTACAAGAGACTGTCATTTTATTAGAGAAGGACGTGACTATGAAAGGTAACATTGTCAAGTAATTAAGGTTAATAAGATAAAATATCAATAGTTCCCATAGTAGTAAGATATTCCGACATTAGGAATATATTACTTGATAGGGTATAATGGTCTTCTAGCTTGGATAGAGGTTGATCGAACGAAGTCACTTCTAATTGGGTTGATATTAAGGAAGAAAGAGATTGTTTGAGGTTGGTTGATCCTACCTTTATGGCTTAAGATGTCAGGACCTTTCTAGACTCTGAGACGCTAGAGGCAATCGAGCATATCTATCGAAGGGTGAGACTCATTCTCCATGCTCAGATATTTAACTTCTATTACTTCGAATTAGTCATCATCAGTCATTAATATACTTAGTATTTATTTCTTGATGTAGTCACTTTTTGGCAACCTTCCGAGGTGATTTTCCCAAGGACTCACAGGGTCTTGCTCATCACATATTGGGGCACATAGTCCTCGGGGTGACATAGTCCTTGGGGTAATACACCCGCGGAGTGGCGACTTGCATCATCGTGATCTGGTCGGTGGTGTCCTCGGGCGTATGTCCTCGAGCATCCTTTTGATATATGGGGTCACGAGTCCTCAAGTTATTCCCTTCCTACTGAACCCCCCATTTTGTCAAACCCATAAGAAATCTTACCTTCCACGGACTCTAATATAATTCAAACACCTCAACCCTGGACTCCTACGTCCACAAGAATTCTATGTCAACAATAGCGTCATTGGTCATGTAATTATATTACAAATAAAATACTCTTATCAAGTAGGACTCTATTGGATAAGAACATCCAACTAATTCAATCCTACTAGAAGTACACTACCTACCTCTATAAATACATGACCTAAGTCCATTATTCAGGTACGCTTTTACATATAATTTCAGTATACGTTCTCATATAAATTCTCTGTCTGACTTAAACATCGGAGGGACGACGAGAACACATCTCGTTGCCTTTGTTTCAAGTACCAGAAGGTTCTGTTTGTGCTTTTTTTCAATCCTCAAGTTCGGGAGGTCTGCCAGGTACTTTTTTGGTAGCATCATTGGCGTCGTCCATGGAAAACGCTACCAAAAGCCATGGTAAACACACGTTCAGGTTTTCCTCCAACAAGCTCATCTGTTCCAGATCCTCATCCTCCTCCTGAAGGTCATCATGTCCCTCAAGAAGAATCATTAGAGATGCCAGCACCTCTCCCAGTGGTCATCACAATCGAAGCCTTTGAAGAGCTCCGTCAGCAGGTGGCCACACTCATGCAACTGTTAAGTCAAAGAAATTCGCATCCATCACCAGTGCAGGCAGAGCATGGTGGTTTTATGGCTGATGCTCGAGTCCGACCACCAAACCTTGCAACTGGTGGAGTGGGAACCTCAGGAATTTGCAATATGGCCTCGGGCTTGAGATCAATCGCTATAGATTCCAGTGAGATTGCCCGAATCATTCAAGAAGGAATCACAGCTGGCCTACAGAGGAATGCTCGGGGGTCAACGGGTTTTATCCCTGACACCCCGTTCACTCCTGAGGTATTATCATTCCCCCTACCGGACAGATTTAAGTACCTCTGTATAAAAGAATATGATGGAACTACCGACCCTATCAACCATCTTAATATCTATACCGACGTCATGAACTTGCAAGTTGCCCCATACCAGTTGATGTGCAAAGCTTTTCCTCAAACGTTGACCCACACAGCCAGGGACTGGTTCTCAACCTTAAAGCCCAATCCCATAGCCTCTTTCTCAGATCTGGTCGATAAGTTCTCTGCCTTCTTTGCCAGTAGTAAGCGCATCAGAAAGACAGCGACTTCCCTCATGCAACTTCGTCAAGGGCAGAATGAAACCCTACGTGACTTCATGAAGAGGTTTAATAAAGAAAGACTTCAGATCCCCGATCTCCATATCACAGCAGCAGTTTTCGCCCTCATCCATGCTATAAGATGTGAAGCATTCAAGATGAGTTTGTCAAAAACTCCCCCAAAGTCAGTGACCGAGCTTCTGACCTGAGGACAGAAATACATTAATATGGAAGAAACATTGAATCCAAGGAGAGTTGGTTCGACTTATGATGGGGCTGAGCATAAGAGGCGGCGTGAGTTGTATCTAAAGCAAGACCTTGCCAGAGGAAAGCAGAAGCGGGGCACACCACCAACACTTACACATTTGAACACCTCTAGGTCGAACATATTGATGGAAATCAAAGATATGAAGGAGTTCAAGTGGCCACCGAGGTTGAGGTCTCCCCCTGAGACCAGGGACAAGAACAAGTATTGTGACTACCATCGTGACCATGGTCATACTACAGAGGATTGCATTACATTGCAACGTGAGATTGAAGCTTTGATAAAAAGAGGATTCCTAAAGGAGTATATCAGGCATGACAAGCATCTCAGGAATGATCGCAACAATGGGAAGACCACAGAATCTGGGGGAGGTAGCCAACCAACAGCAGGTACCATCAACCTTATAATCGGGGGGATTGCCTCGAGAGAAGATTCAAATAGTGGCCACAAACAATATGCCCAACGACACAATTCCATACAAATGACAGCTCCCAACGACATGAAAGATATCACATTTGGATCGAAGGACTTAGAAGACATATCATACCCCCATGACGATGCCTTGGTCATATCTGCCATCATCACCAATTTTGAAGTAAGGAGGGTCTTGGTTGACAATGGAAGTGCGGCCAATGTATTGTCCCAAGAGGCCTTCATGAAGATGGGTATTTCTGTTAACCAGTTCAAGACAGTCAAAACACTGCTCCAGGGATTTGGGGGTGGAATAATCATCCCAGAAGGAATCGTTGATCTTCCCTTAACATTGGGCTCAGGGCAAAAGCAGGTGACAGAATTCACTCCCTTTCATGTAGTCCATGCTTCGATGGCCTACAGTGCCATCATCGGGAGACCACTGCTCAATAAAATCAGGGCCATTGTATCCACCTTCCATCTTGTTATGAAGTTTCCAATAAGTGACGGCATAGGGATTGTGCGTGGAGATCAGAAAGTAGCAAGGCAGTGCTATGTTACTTGTGTTCGGGGAATGAGCACTGATGTCATGCAAATATCGACCCCTGAGCTCGAGCTCGAGAACCAGCAAAAATTTGTCCCAGGAGAAGAACTGATAGAGGTCGGGGTTGAGCATAGCGAAGATTGATGATCGCTTAGGATTTATTTTTATTTTTTGGTTTCCATTTTGGCTTGTTTAGTTTAGTTTACTTGGGTTGGCATGCCATATGCTTTTTTGGTTAGTTTACCTTTTTTTGGGCTAGTACGTCCTATGCATTTTCTTATTTACTTAGATAGTTATTTTAACAAGTCCTACGAGCTTATTTTGTCTTTAGAAGGTAGGAAATTTTATATAAAGGGAGTTGGAATCACACGACGCATGTTTTCTTCCAGAAGGAATACGCTGAAAAAGACCTGTTATGCACAGACACCAAAGCCTTGCCTCGCGCAAGCATCAAAAGCCCTATCACGCGCAGGCACCATCAAAAGACCTGCTACGAGTAGGCATAAAAGAAAACCTGCCATGAGCAGGCACCAAAAAAGACTTGTCACGAGTAGGCATAAAAAAATCCCTGTCACGCGCAGGCACCAAAGCCCTGTCACGAGCAGGCACCATCAAAAGCCTTGTCATGAGCAAGTACCAAAGCCTTGTTCTACGCAAGCACTCAAAGCTTTGCCCCGAGCAAGTACTTCAAGCCTTATCCTGCACAGGTACTCTAAGCCTTGTCACGGGTAAGCACATCCAAGTCCCACAACGCATCAATTAAAAAGCCCGACCACGGTCTATCTCGAGCTTGTGAGGCTCAACCTATTCTCAAATCCATGGGAATAGAGCTCGTGATATCATTTCACATTGGGCTCGAGCCTGTCCTCGAGCTCAATACCTTGTCAAAATCCATAGCCACAAGGGCTAGGGATATTATTTTTAAATTGGGCTCGACTATGTCCTCGAGCTCAATTCATTGTCAAAATCCCAACCACGACGGCTCAGGATATTATTTCACGTTGGGCTCAAGCCTGTCCTCGAGCTCAATACCTTGTCAAAATCCCTAGCCACAAGGGCTCAGATACTATTTTTAAATTGGGCTCGCCTATGTCCTCGAGCTCAATTCATTATCAAAATCCCAACCACGACGGCTCGGGATATTATTTCACGTTGGGCTCGAGCCTGTCCTCAAGCTCACTACCTTATCAAAATCCCTAGCCACAAGGGCTTGGGATACTATTTTTAAATTGGGCTCGGCTATGTCCTCAAGCTCAATTCATTGTCAAAATCCCAACCATAACGGCTCGGGATACTATTTCACGTTGGGCTCGAGCCTGTCCTCGAGCTCAATACCTCATCAAATCCCAGCCACAATGGCTCGGGATATTTTTTTTAAAATGGGCTCGGGGCTATGTCCTCGAGCTCAATTCATTGTCAAAATCCCTAGCCACAAGGGCTCGGGATATTATTTTAAATTGGGCTCGGCTATGTCCTCGAGCTCAATGCATTGTCAAAATTCCTAGCCACAAGGGCTCGAGATATTATTTTTAAATTGGGCTCGGCTATGTCCTCGAGCTCAATTCATTGTCAAAATCCCTAGCCACAAGGGCTCAGGATATTATTTTTAAATTGGGCTCGGCTATGTCCTCGAGCTCAATTCATTGTCAAAATCCCAACCACAAGGGCTCGGGATATTATTTCACATTGCGCTCGAGCCTGTCCTCAAGCTCAATACCTTGTCAAAATCCCTAGCCACAAGGGCTCGGAATATTATTTCACATTGGGCTCGGGGCCTGTCCTCGAGCTCAATTCATTATCAAAATCCTAACCACACCGGCTCGGGATATTATTTCACGTTAGGCTCGAGCCTGTCATCGAGCTCAATACCTTTCCAAATCCCAACCACAACGGCTCGGGATATTATTTCACATTGGGCTCGAGCCTGTCCTCGAGCTCAATACCTTATCAAATCCCAGCCACAACGGCTCGGGATATTATATTTTAAATGAGGCTCGAGGCTATGTCCTTGAGCTTAATGCATTGTCAAAATCCCTAGCCACAAGGGCTCGGGATATGATTTTAAATTGGGCTCGGCTATGTCCTCGAGTTCAATGCGTCAAAATTCCTAGCCACAAGGGCTCGGGATATCATTTTTAAATTGGGCTCGGCTATGTCTTCGAGCTCAATTCATTTTCAAAGTCCTTGCCACAAGGCCTTGGGATATTATTTTTAAATTGGGCTCAGCTATGTCCTCGAGCTCAATTCATTGTCAAAGTCCCTGCCACAAGGCCTCGGGATATTATTTTTAAATTGGGCTTGACTATATCCTCGAGCTCAATTTATTGTCAAAATCCTTGCCACAAGGGCTCGGGATATTATTTTAAATTGGGCTCTACTATGTCCTCGAGCTCAATTCATTGTCAAAGTCCCTGCCACAAGGCTTCGGGATATTATTTTTAAAATGGGCTCAGGCTATGTCCTCGAGCTCAATTCAATGTCAAAATCCCAACCACAAGGGCTCGGGATATTATTTTTAAATTGGGCTCGACTATGTCCTCGAGCTCAATTCATTGTCAAGATTCCTGTCGTAAGGGCTCGGGATATTATTTTTAAAATGGGCTCAGACTATGTCCTCGAGCTCAATTTAATATCAAAATCCCAACCACAAGGGCTCGGGATATTATTACATATTGGGCTCGGGGTCTATCCTCGAGCTCAATGTATTATCAAATCCCAGGAGCAAGGGCTCGAGATAATTATCGCACATTAAGTTCGGGCTATGTCTCCTATATGAACTATTGTCTATCCATCGAGCTCGTTCTTTTCAGAATTTTAACAAAGTTTTAGCTCGAGCCCTTCTTTTCAAATTTTAAATAATGTAGGGATCCATCCCTTACCTTAAAACATGTTCGAGGTCGAGCTCTCCTCTTTCAAAATTTTTGACGAAGTCAGGGTCTAAACCTCTCAAAAATTTTTAATGAGCTCGAGGTCGAGCTCCTTCCTTTAAAATTTTTAAACAAGGTCTGTGCATACTTTTCTTTTAAAATTTTGACAATATTGGGGTCAAGCTCATTCCCTTCAAATTTTTAATAAGGTAGGGATCGAGACTGCCTATCAACTCGTCATGAGCTAGCCAACCTCTAGGCATGACCATGCCCTTATCTTGGCATGAGCTCGCCTATCTCTAGGCATGAGCATGACCACTCCTTGGCATGAGCTCCCTGACCTCTAGGCTTTGGCACGCCTATACCTTGGCATGAGCTCGCCAACCTCTAGGTATAAGCACGCTCTTATCTTGGCATGAGCATACCCATCACCCGACATGCTTGTGCATCTCATCCCAGAAACTTCCATATCGCGCAAGCCTCTGACATGGATGCATGGGGGCCAGTGATGTAGTCACTTTTGGCAACCTCCCGAAGTGATTTTCTCAAGGACTCATAGGGTCTTGCTCATCACATATTGGGGCACATAGTCCTCGGGGTAATACACCCGAGGAGTGGCGACTTGCATCATCGTGATCTGGTTGGTGGTGTCCTCGGGCATAAGTCCTCGAGCATCCTTTTGATATACGGGGTCACGAGTCCTCAAGTTATTCCCTTCATACCGAACCCCCCATTTTGTTAAACCTATAAGAAAATCTTACCTTCTACGGACTCTAATATAATTCAAACACCTCAACCCAGGACTCCTACGTCCACAATAATTCTATGTCAACAATAGCGTCATTGGTCATGCAATTATATTACAAATAAAATACTCTTATCAAGTAGGACGCTATTGGATAAGAACATCCAATTAATTCAATCCTACTAGAAGTACACTACCTACCTCTATAAATACATGACCCAAGTCCATTATTCAGATACGCTTTTACATACAATTTCAGTATACGTTCTCATATAAATTCTCTCTGACTCAGGCATCGGAGGGGCGACGAGAACACACCTCTTTGCCTTTGTTTCAGGTACCAGAAGGTTCTATTTGTGCTCTTTTTCAGTCCTCAAGTTCGGGAGGTCTACCAGGTTCGTTTTTTGGTAGCATCATTTCTCAACCATGATGTGTAATCCTTGTCATTTTTATGAGGATTACCAAGCGCAAGGCTCCTAAGCAGTCCAAGCTCGTAAAAAGGGCTGTAGTCCAAAAGAAGAGGTATATGTCCTCTCTACATGATGAGCTGATAGAGTTAAAAGATGAGACCTTCTGGGGTTTGAAGTTTCAAGATGGAAAACTTGACCTATAGACATCGAGTTTCACTCAAAGGTCCCCAAGACCTTTGTTTAGAAGGAAGCTCCATGAGTTAAGGTGATCAATTGTTGCCACGTCAACAACCACTAATCTCTGTGGTGTTAAAATAATTCCACCGTAAGGCCAGCTTCAAAAGTGTCTGGGACGAGAACATTATTAACTTCTTTAGTGTAAGAGATAGATTGACACTAGGTATACCTTTGCATACAACTTCAAATGTGAGAACTTGAGGTCGAATAGTATGTGGACAAGATAAAGGCTAACTTGATGTTTATCACTAGGAGATCGAGTGACCGAAGAAAGATTTTGTGGAGTGCACTGTTAAGGTCTTGAGGTTAAATGCCATAGAGGACAATGTTTGGATGAGGATGTAGAGGAGTTTAAACACTCCGAAGGCCATGGAAATGAGCTAGAGGAATATGTCGAAGGCTCTTATCATCAAGGACTCAATGAAGTTTGAGCTTGGTTGAAGATCAAAGCGTTCGCCCCAAATTCTTAGAACTTAACATGTTAAAAAAATCTTAGCTTGAACTCTATAATGTTGACCAAAATAGTTGTAAATAAGAAAAATTTTGAATTTGGAATATTAACAAAATAATAATAATAATAATAATGGGAGATATTCATTCATATAGACTTAGACAATTATGGTGAAAATTGACTTTGGAAAACATTTGGAGGAAATTCAGCAAACACCGGTTGTGTAGCAACGGAAAGAAAAATATGTTTGTCCTTGCAAATGTCGACTAAAATTTATGGAATTCTAACAATGACTATAACATTCATATACGTACAACATATAAAAATTTGGGTTCTCCCGAAAATGTTTGAAGCACGAAAATATTTTTCAACTATGCTAGATAGTATTTTCGAAACTGACTCGATGCAATCTACTAAAATGGACATGACTTTTTCTATAGCTAATATTTAAGGTAATTCCAAAGACCATTATTAGAAGACTTGTAAACCTTTCAAATCCTATTGATTTCACTCTAAAACATGCATTGTAGGCCAAGTTATACCATTTTTAAGTAGGAGGACAAAATTTGAAAATTCAATTTAGCAACAATTAAACTTCATGCCTAGTCAATTCAACATTTCTAAATTATACTTGATAAGAAATGTATAAGAAAACTAGATGAAATAAACATTTAATTATTTTTTAAAGTTTTATATAAGTGTTCATAACAGATTTACTTAACTGAAAATTTTATTAGATAGTTAAAGAGCATTTCAAATGCGGAGCATTTGCCACTATGCTAAACAACTGCCGTGCCTCAAATTAGCTTGTAAAATTTTAGTAGGGATAAGAACCACAAGTAATACTCAGTAGAAAATACTTAAATAAATGATGCAAAAAAAATATTTTCTAGAAATACAAATTTTGATTAGTTGTCTCACCATCAATTTTGCGAAGCGAGTCAGTGATCAGGCAGTCCGCTTACTCCCAGGTTTTGATAACCCGTTTAAGTATCAAAAATTATCTCTTCATATCTTATTTGAACCACCAAATGATGCTTCCATTTTCTTATGAATAACACCATAACATGTTAAATGCAAATTGAAAACAAATAATTTTTACTTGACTAACAAAAGTGTTGAAAACACCCCACTTTAAATGTTTGGAGTTTAAATACCATTTTGTGCTCAATTTGTTATCAAATGCAGCGTGCTCTTAGCCTCTCCTTCAGATAATTTCTAGATTCAAATGTGCTTTATTCTATGGAAAAAGGGGCAAATGGAATTTATGTGTTTACAATTGTGATTTGTGAGAAAAAGGTGGCTAAAGGAGTCGAAACTTGACTTTCAAATGGTGGATACAATTAGAATTTAGATTTGAATAATAACATGCATTTTAAATAAACTAATGACTTCCAAAATAAAAAGGGACAGTTTTAGGCAGTTGGCAAAAGTGGAAGTTAAGATGGCAAGTTAAGTGGTATGATCGTGGCACAAGTTGGTGGGGTGGTAAAATTAAATGGAATGCCTTTAGTAGAGAAACAAATTAGACTAAGGGGTGAGGAAAAAAATCAAAATACGTGGCTGAAAAAGGGAGTCTTTTGAAAAGGAAAAAATTCATGTTTAAGTGCTATTCGAAATATACAATAAGGGGATCAAATTTTAAATTTTTAAGGACCTAACATAGGTAGTAATTAATATAAAATAAAAATTTTCGTTTAAAAGAGATTTCGACACCCTCCAAAATTTTGAAACAAGTGTTGCAACTTTACTATCGTGATAAAAAATAATTAATTTGGAGTTTTAAAAAGTGTCGTAGCAACTTAGTAGTGTAACCCAAATCATTTTTGGGTTCTACAAGAAAATTTCTTTTAAAATGAAACACAAGATTTTCTCATTCGCTATAGTCCGGGTTTGATACGTCTTCCCTAACACTTTTTCCCAAAGAGCTGAGTTGCTCGACTTAAGTGAGCTCTCCTATCCACTTCCTGAGGACGTTGAGAAAGAGGAACGAGAGGATGAGGAGAAAGCCTCCAAGGAGAGGCAATACATGTTAGCTTATTTTTGTACTTTTATTTTTTGTTACCTTTTGGCCGAGCTTGTTGGAGGTTGGGCCTTTTTTTGTATGCAACGGAAGGATCTCTTTCTATGTTATTATTAGTGAAAAGTTCGTCCCTTTTACTTGGTGTTTTGAGATGCCAATTGATTTTTAACCATTATTTTACGCTTAAAAATTAGCTTAAGTGCTTTTTGTAAGAAATTAAACCCTAATACCAAGATCTTTAGAATTCATGATTTTCACATATGAAATTTTAATTGATCAAGAAACATACCTTGATCCATGGCAATAATTGAGAATTTTAGATCTGCAAAATAATAAACTGTTAAATTAAAAAAACCTTTCTCTCAATTTTCCTCTATTTTATTGAATGAATTTATTGATGGGTTTCATTCACATTTATAGGCAGAGAGAGGCAGTCTCATTTGTGCCATAAAACTCTCAACTTTCCATCAAAGTAGACAATTATAAAACTACCATTTATCAATTGGGCCAATAGGATTTTAGTAATATTAATCACCTTTAATTAATTCTTTAATATTACATGGGCCACAAATAATTGGTTTTACATTCTCCCACTTGGCCCGTGTAATATTGTTTTGTTATGTGGTATATAACATAATGCGCATACCATTAGCTAAAATCCATCATACATTGGTCACTTAATATATCATCCTTAAGTAAAGACTAATAAGAGTCATGGCGGTTTTACACCATCATATAAGCATAATTCCTTCCATGTACTACAGCATTAGTCCCTACCCAACATGATACATAATGAGAAGTTCGATAATTGCATTAATGTCTTCGAAAAGACTATCCCTGTCAGCATTTGCATAATTCATTCACGTACATGTACCAACAGTTATGACAGGAATAATTTTTTCAAAAACAATATATAAATGAGCCCAAAATGTCAATACATAAGCATCATAAATTGCATAATAATGTTAATGATAATTTTCAATAATGCCCATCCTTTCGACATGTTCATTGAATGTCTTTGGTGGCAATCCTTTTGTTAATAGATCTGCAATCATAAGATTGGTGTTAATAAGCTCGATTGACACCTTTTGTTTTTGAACTTCTTCTTTAACGGCAAAGTACTTCAATTCCATGTGCTTAACACCTTTAGAGTACTTGTCGTTCTTTGAAAAGAAGACTGCTGCAGAATTATCACAATAATGTTTCAATGGCTTGGCTATACTGTCGACGATCCCAAGTCCTGTAATAAAGTTCCGCAGCCAATTTCCTTGAACTGTGGCCTCAAAGCATGCCACAAACTCGGCTTCCATAGTGGATGCAGCAATGATTGACTGCTTCGCACTTTTCCATGATATAGCCCCTCCAGTTAAGAGGAACAAATAGCCAAATGTGGACTTTCTAGTATCCACACATCCAGCAAAGTCCGAATCTGAATATCCAATGACCTCCAAGTTATCAGATCTCATATAAGTGAACATGTGATCTTTCGTTCCTTGCAAGTATCTCAATACTTTCTTTGCAGCTTTCCAATGATCAAGTCCCGGGTTACTTTGATACCTGCCCAGCATTCCAACAGCAAAACTGATGTATGGTCTGGTGCAAGTCTGAGCATACATTAAGCTCCCAACAAGAGATGCATAAGGAATAGCTGTCATTTGTTTGCGTTCCAATTCGTTTTTAGGACATTGCATGAGACTAAATTTGTCTCCTTTCTAAATTAGAACAACACTCGCTGAACAATTTTTCATATTGAATCTCTCTATAACTTTATTGATGTATACTTTCTGAGACAACCTTAACAACCCTTGTGACCTATCATGGAATATTTCAATTCCAATTACATAGGTTGTCTCTCCCATGTCTTTCATTTCAAAATTTTTAGAGAGAAATTTCTTAGTCTCGTATAATAGACCAAAATCATTAGTAGCTAGCAAGATATCATCAACGTACAGAATCAGAAATATAAACTTGCTCCCACTGACCTTCAGATATATACATCGATCAACGACGTTTTCCTTAAATCCAAAGGAAGTAATGGTATCGTTGAACTTAAGATACCATTGACGGGAAGCCTGTTTAAGTCCATATATTGATTTCTTTAACTTACATACCACGTGTTCCTTTCCTTTAACTGAAAAACCTTCAGGTTGATTCATATAAACTTCTTCATCTAAATTTTCATTTAGAAAGGCGGTTTTCACATCCATTTGTTGTAGTTCTAAGTCATAATGAGCTACTAAAGACATTATAATTCTGAGCGAGTCTTTCTTAGAGACTGGTGAAAATGTCTCCTTATAATCAATGCCACTTTTCTGAGTAAAATCTTTGGCAACAAGTCTAGCTTTATGTTGTTCGATATTACCATTAGAGTCGCGCTTGGTCTCAAAGACCCATTTACACCCAACTCTTTTACATGATTCTGGTAATTCAACGAGATCCCAGACTTCGTTATGTTCCATAGATTTCAACTCATCTTTCATAGCATCTAACCACTTATCAGAATTAGCGCTCTCAATGGCTTGTGAAAATGAAACTGGATCATCATCAACAATTCCCAAGTCAAATTCAGACCCTTGCAGGTAAACCACATAATCATCAGAAATAGCAGGTCTACGTTGTCTTTGTGACCTTTTTAATGTTATTTCTTGTGGTTCATTTAATGCAGGTTCATCGGTGGCAACTTCATTGTGAGGTGTTTGACCATTTATTTGTTGTTCAGGTAAATTTTCATGTCGTTTAACAATTTGAGGAACAACAACATTAGAAGAAGTTGAGGGTAGAGAAACTTGAATTCTAACTTCTTGTATTTCCACATTTCGTGGTTCAAAACTCACACTAACTTCACCATTCTCAATGAACCTAGCATTTTCAGTTTCAACAATTCTAGTACTATGGTTAGGACAATAAAATTTATACCCTTTTGATTTTTCTGGATAACCAATGAAAAATCCACTGATTGTTCTTGAGTCCAGTTTCTTTTCATGTGGATTAAAAATTCTTGCTTCTGCTGGGCAACCCCAAATATGCAGGTGCCTTAAACTGGGTTTCCTTCCCGTCCATAGTTCAAAGTAGTCTTTGGGACTGCCTTACTAGGAACCCTGTTTTGTAAATATATAGCAGTCTTTAATGCAAACATCCACAAAGATATGGGTAAAGAAGAATTGCTTAACATACACCTAACCATTTCTATTAGAGTACGATTACGCTTTTCAGCCACACCATTTTGTTGTGGTGTGCCTGGCATAGTGTATTGAGAACATATGCCATGCCTTTCAAGAAATTTAGCAAATGGACCTGGGTGTTGTCCAGTTTCATCATACTTTCCATAATATTCACCACCTCTATCAGATCTAATAATTTTCACCTTTCTGTCTAATTGTCATTCAACTTCATTGACAAAAATCTCTAAAACATTTACAGCTTGAGACTTTTCATGTAGTAGATAGACGTAACCATAACGTGAAAAATCATCGATAAAGGTGATAAAATACTTTTCCCCACCAAATGATGAAACATCAAAAGGCCCACATATATCGGTATGTATTATCTCAAGAAGCTGTGTGCTTCTTGTGGCTCCTTTCTTTGTGTGTTTGGTTTGTTTACCCTTAATACAATCTACACAAGTTTCAAGATCACTAAAATCCAAGTCATGAAGGATTTCATTCTTTAATAATCTTTCTATCCTTTCCTTGGATATGTGACCCAAACGTTTATACCACAAGTTAGCAGATCGTTCATTCAGTAAACCACGTTTAGTACCAATATTATGATGCAAGGTCAAAAGAGTCTCGGCAAAGAGGTTATCAAGCTTTAATTTATATAACCCATCACAAAGAATAGCGGAACCGATAAGATGATTTTGTTTAAACAAATTTAAACATCCATTTCCACCATCAAAGAAATATCCAACAGAATAAGGAAACTAAATTACGAGAAATAGAAGGTACATATAGAGTCTGAAATAAATCTAAATGATGTCCAGTATCTAAAATCAAACGATAAGTTCCAATGGCTTCAACTGGAGCTTTGACTCGATTTCCCATGAGGACAAACTTTTCATTTGGATTTATGGTCTGGGTTGAAAGGAATCCCTGCATCGTATTAGTAACATGAGTGGTACATCCGGAATCAATCCACCAAGTATTATAAGGAACTTTTGCCAAATTAGATTCGAAACATACATAAGAAATAATCTTACCTTTACTTTCAAACCATGCATTACGTTTCAGGCAGTCCTTTTTATGGTGCCCAGGTTTGCGACAGAAATGGCACGTATCCTTTTTGTGTTCCTTATTGTGGATATGGGCAGAAGACTCATTTATCTTTAGTGGTCCTTGCTTAATGCCCTTTTCAGATCTTTTCTTATATTTTTTTCTAGCTCCTTGATGACTTACGAGATGAACAAAATGAGTTCCTTGATTCTTAAGCCTTGTCTCCTCTTGCACGAGCATACTGTGCAATTCATTGACATTCCATTTATCCTTTAAGGTATTATAGTTCATATGGAATGGACCGTACTCGGGAGGCAAAGAGTTGATGATAAATTGTACCAGAAAGTTCTCACCCACAATCATCCCAAGAGTCTTAAGTCTTGCTGCAATGTTACTCATTTCAGTAACAAGCTCATGCTTGGTACGAGAACCATCAAATTTCATGGTGGTTAAGGTACTCATCAGTGTGCCAGCAAGTGATTTGTTAGCTGTTTGGGAACGTTCTTCCACAAACTTCATATATTCCTTAGCATTCTCAGTTTTAGGGATAGTAGACTTGATATTCTTTGCTAAGGTCATCCGCATAAACATTAAGCTTAATCTGTTTGACCTTTCCCAAGCTTTATGGACAGATCTTTCATCAGCACTGCTCTCATCAGTAAGATCAGCAGGTTTCTCAACTTGAAGTGCCAAGTCCAAGTCCAAGACACCTAAGTTGAACTGAACTTGTTCACACCAGTCAGAGGAATTTAGCCCATTGAACAGTGGTACAGATGAAGTATGCGAATGCAGAGAAACGGGAACAGATACTGCAAAATATAAAATGCTCTAACATTAATACTTTGAGTTTTAATTTCAAATTCAGATAACAATAAATGTATAGCGTAATTCTCGTTTGGGTGATATTACGTTATACCATCATAATAAATATAATGATGCTAATTAAATTTCACTTAATTGGTAATTAAATATACTCTAATCAAACATGTATGATATCTTTGGATATACAAAACACATCCGACCAAGTAAATCAATTAACCACGATCATGTTCAAGATTAACAAAATTAACTGATCAACCTTTGGGCGATCCATAATAATTTTATAATTTTTGAACGTTAATATACTCTTGACACCATAATAAAGTCATTTTCATTTACAAGCATCAAACTATCAAGAGTAATTGATAAATAAATTATGTAATTTAGCGTTCAAAATACCATAATGTTTGGCCACTTTGGTGACTAACAAACAACATCAATCGAACATTAATTACAAAAATATAATGTGAATAATGTAAGTAATTAAACTAGACATAATCTAATTTAATTCATAATTCAAATTAAAATGTGAAACAATAAATGTCCAATTGCCAAAAACAGTCAATATATATGTACTTCACCGATATTGAACACAAACGCATAAACTTCAGTCAATGTTATGCCTTAAACCAATACAAGGGATTGACATTTTCTTAAACAATTCAACATATATGGCAGAAACATATACCTACAGTACAGCATTCTAGGTACAAATTGTCAGCCTCATTTGATTTTCCAAGGATGGGGTTTAATTAGGCCATGGGATTATAGAAAGAAACAGTATGTGTCTTGCAAATGTTTTCATGCATTAATTGGTTTCTGCAATTTCGATTTTACACGTTTCAGCCCGTCCTTTAATTATTTACTTATTTAAACTTTGAATGATTAATAATGACAAACAGGAACACATAGCCAAAATAATGGACTTTGAAGGGCTGTCTCTTTCTCTCATATGCATGGAAAAGCCAATTAATTTGAACACGATATAGTCTTCCCAAATCGGATCCATGGAAAAACCAATTAATCGACGTAGATAGCAAATGGGATTTGATGTAATGATTTGATCCATAAATTAATAAGAAATTAAAGATCCCATACGAAAAACAGTAAATCTTTAAGGAAAATCAAGAATTCTTCAACTTGGCTCTGATACCACATGTAAGAAATTAAACCCTAATACCAAGATCTTTAGAATTCATGATTTTCACATATGAAATTTTAATTGATCAAGAAACATACCTTGATCCATGGCAATATTTGAGAATTTTAGATCTGCAAAATAATAAACTGTTAAATTAAAGAAACCGTTCTCTCACTTTTCCTCTCTTTTATTGAATGAATTAATTGATGGGTTTCATTCACATTTATAGGCAAAGAGAGGCAGTCTCATTTGTGCCATAAAACTCTCAACTTTCCATCAAAGTAGACAATTATAAAACTACCATTTCTCAATTGGGCCAATAGGATTTTAGTAATATTAATCACCTTTAATTAATTCTTTAATATTACATGGGCCACAAATAATTGGTTTTACACTTTTATTGACCGAGATTGATGAACATAAACTAGGTAGATTTAATAGTAACAATCGAACAAAAATTTTGACAAGTAAAGTCGGTGATGTTTAGTTTGCCGATGAAGGGTTTGTGTTCCTTAGGTCTAAGGAACTTGATGCCTAGGTAATCTAGAAAGACCTAGGTAATCTATGGTCTTGGTGTTCCGAGGTCTTGGCAATCGAGGAGTATCTAGCAATCTCTAAGTCTAGGTAACCTAAAATCTAGACGATTGAGGACAGTCTAGTTGACCCAGGCTTTAGGTGACTAGATGTCTAAGTATTAGGGAAAAGTTTGGCAACAACAAAGTTTGTGTTCTAGGTAACTTGAGTGCATCGATGGAAAGAGTTATACTTTATAAATTATTTTCTTTAACGTAAAGATAACTTTGTGCTTGATTATTAAGGTAGAGAAGCTCTCCCATGGTCTTACTAGTGGCCAATCTTTTACAATTAGAGGAAGGACTTGTACTCGATCATGCTGGGGAACGGATGGGTAAAATAAAAGAAAAGTGGACGTGCATGCAAGAGACTAAGAACAAGAGAGAAAGCAAAGACAGTTAAGGTTTCAGGTCATCTTTTTTTATATGTAGTATGTCTTGAGATTTTCTACATTTCGAAGTTGAGGCAAGTGCTTCCTGACCATGTTTCTTAGGTTTTAGGCTCCTTTGTCGACAACAGATGATGCTACCTAAATGTGTACCTGGATGTGGTGAAGTTAGACAATGATCAAGCTTAAGTTTTCACTCAAAATGATCAAGAACAATGCTTGTGATGTTCTAAAATAAAAGAGAAGATGCATGATCTCGTGACCTCTCCAATGCTTAAGTTAGCTAAATGGAGAGAAAAAGTATATGTAAAAGTTCTTTTGAGTAAAATATGCATTGAGATGGTGTTGTGTGACCTGATACTAGGGCCATGACGACTCAAACACATACAAAACCACGTATTTTAAGAATTTCATGGCTAAATGTAGTCAATTTTTATATCTCGCAAGCGTACAGACCGTTACAAGTAATAAAGTTGACCTATGAGTCCGAATATCATTTCTAGAACTACCATTTGACAATTGGTTCAATTATTCCTTGAATTTGATTGAAAACTAATAAAATAATTATTTTTCTTTTTGTGATTTTCTATTTTAAATATACTAAAACAAATAAAAGTAAATTAAGAGTTAGAATTCATGAGTTCACCATAGCTATCCTTTTAATCTCAATTACCAAGTTCTATACAAATGATTATGTTAACCTGATCGAATTCTTCTAGTGTATTGAATTTACCCATTTCAGGTTCTCAATGAGTCTATTTAACTGATTCAATTTCATATCTCTATGTGGATTAATTTTAGTTAAACGCAATTATGTTTTAAGAATTCATGTAACGACCACAATAACTAGCATAATATTTCTACGTTTTATACTAATTATCGACTTTTACTACGTGGTCTAAACAAATTCTCCATATCTCCGCGGAATTATTATTCACAAAATCAATGAATAATCTAAGCACTAAGAATAGAAGTAAAAACAATTCAAAAAATCATTGGATATTTAAAACTTTTTAATTAAAATCAAGGTTCAAAACTAGATTATAATCATTCATCTTAACCGAATACTTAATTACACATCACGAGAGAAGAATAAAACAACAAGAATGAATTAAAGTACATCATCAGATATTAAGGAAAAAGAGAAAAAGATGAAGATCTTGCACCAAGATTCCGCCTCTTCTTGTAAAGTCCTTGAAACCTTAGCTCCTTGATTCTTTTCCCTCTTTTTGGCTTGAATAATATATATACAATGATCACAAAGCCTTGACTTGAATATATGTATATATAATGAAACTCCACAAGCCCCATATAATTGGTGGACTAAATTACGTATTTATAGAAAAGATTTATCCAAAATCCTTGTTCAACTTGATTTCCACCTACGAGGTTAAACTAGTTTCTACTAAAGAGTTCAAATTAATTTCTACCAAAGAGTTTAAGAAGTAAAAGAAAACAAATTTCATTTTCAATTCAACTCATTTTCTCATGAAACTTTATTCCTCCATCTTCATTTATTTTGCAATTAAGTTCTCTTCATTTCAAAATCATAATAGTTGACACGAGACAAGCTTCAAAGTTTGCTATTTAATCCTCAAACTTTTCCAAATGTTGAATTTAACTCCCGAAACTTATGAATTTTTTACCGAATGCTTCATTAATATTTCCAATTGATCCCTTGCAATACGGTTAATCTTCAATTGCTTCAAATCAATTCCAATTAAGCTCCAAATAACCTCTTTTACATAAATTGTATCCAAATTGGAATTGTACTTCAATTTACATAATTTACACAAATTAAGTAGATAATTGTTAAACTTATATGTACTTAAATAAGAATAGAAGTCCGAATAAGCACATAAAATGCTCCTATGAAATACCTTCAAACTTAACTCTTGTTCATCCTGAGCAAGACTATCTACTAATACACAAGAAAATAGAAAGATATAAATGTATTAGATAACTTTGCTACACTCGCACCAAGTATTGAAATCGTTTGATACTTCATAAAAGTTTATAAGTAACATAACTAAAACTAAATATTTACTTGCTCCATGTTTGATTGAAGTGTGCGTGCATAGTCAATCAAATTATCGAAAATGTTTAAATTGATTAAATCCCAACCTAATAATCAAATACTCTCTCTCTCGTGGATGCATACTCCCAAACTTGTTTTTCAATCACATTCCCGAGGTGTTTATTCTAAGATTGATTACACAACACTTTTTTCCTTTCATGCTTAAATTTGGTTGGATTTCACCAATGAAAGTCACTATTTCATTACATGATGATTCTCCTTAAATTATTATATTTCAACCTCCAGGCTTCAACTAGAGTAATAACCCCCCTTTCAAAAGTCTAAATTTTAAAGTACATATCGAAGGTTTAGCCGAACAGAAGCAGTGCTTATAATTTTTTTGCCACTGCCTCAACACATTTTGTTGTTTTTCTTTTATTGTGTCTCTTTTTCTTTTTCTTTTTTATTTTTATTTCTTTTCTTTTCCCCTCTTTTTCTTTGATTTTCGAAGGTAGTTTTCACTCTATATTGAAGGTGGCATTTTTCCCTGTTAAATCGTCTCCTAAACATTGGTAATGAATAGGACAAAATTACTTAAGATTAGCTTTACACAATTGTATTCGAATCCCTATTAGATGGTTTTCACCTAGTCTCTACTTGCTAGGAAAAGCATTCCACACAACTATTCAACAGGTATGAAATCAACACATATCTAAATAGTTTCCAATAATGGATCAACCACCCCCAAATTTATCTTTTCAATAGGTTAAGTGGTTGTACTATACATTATGATCATGATTTATAAAGACCTAAGTTCATTCAACGTATTTTATCAATGTAACCAATCCAAAAACATATAATAATTATCATGGCTACTGTGATCAATATAATATGATTTAACATGAATAAATATGGAATTAGCAAAAATAATTGCATCACCTATTTGTAATTTATGAAACATAAACAATTTCAAATAATTTCAATTAGTCGACATGGTTATCCAACTCATACAAACACAGATAAAATAAGAAAAAGTTAAACCCTTTCACTTTTTTTTGGGCAAAAATATCACACAAACAAGCAAATAAAACTACCTAATCTACTCCCCAAACTTAAAATACACATTGTCCTCAATGTATACAGAAAAGAGGTTTAAAGAAGAATTATATGATGTTTCTCGTTTAGTACTTGATATTTTAACTTCCTTCAATATCCTTTCCTTAGTTGTTTTGTAAAATATTTCCATTACGCTTGAGAAGGAACAAGACTAATAATTATCAATAATTCACATGCGAATTTATGCTAATTTAATTAGGAATGATAGTTGTAAGCTAGTTTTAACCTAAAAGGAAAAAAAAAGAATAGAAAAAAAGGAAAAAGAAAAAGAAAAGAAAGAGACAATTTTTTTAAATAAGAAAAAAGAATAACGTTTTTTTAAGAAAAGAAAAAAGAGAAGGAAAAGAAAATAAAGGAAAGAGATAAAAGAAAGGGAAATTGATTTAAAAGGCCAAGTCAAACTAAACATTAGTTTAAAAAGACCCACAACTATGTTTCTTAGTTAAAAGGAATAAAGTTATAAAATATGGAAAATAGAATTTGTAAAGGACTAAAATGACCTTGTATACAAAAGGTCATTATTGCCCTTATACTCATTTCAATTTCCATTGAACCCTAATTGAAATCTCCTTTTATCCTTTCAATTTTCATTTAGTCCTAATTCAATTTTGACTTCCATCCCTTCTACAGGTCAATCTCTCTATGCAAATATTCTCATTTCCTTCTCTTCATCTTCTTTTCTTTCATGGAAC